TTTTTTCTTCTAATTTATTCCCTGCTCCATGCATTTTTCCACTCCCCCTGATTGTAGGAGGTCCCGTATTCATTCAGCTCCGCACTGAAGAGCATCAAACAGCCAGGGAGAGGCAGATCTCTAAAGATAAGCCTTTCCCTTATCGGAGTAAAATCAAAACAGGGAGAATAAATAAACCAGGCAAGAGCATGCAGAGATCCACATCCCTTTCCGTTTCCGCTAAATATTTCGTGGGTGCTTTGGTGCTGGGGTTGCTCCGGCACTTCAACCCAGGGCATCAGACAGCTGCTGTTTGCTCCTCCCTGGGCAAAAGAAAGGGAGCAGAGTCAGCTCCTGCTTTGGTTGCTCCTAAAGGCCGTTCCCCCGGGGAGCTCAGCCCGTCTGCTCCCTCCCTGGGGCAGGGTGGACAGTGTGGGTCTGCCTCTCCCCTTGCACAGGCCCCATCCTGCACCCCTCGGGGTGATGGGCGTTCAGGCAGGAGAGGCGCAGGGGATGTTTGCAGGCTCGGAAAGTGTTTCTCGCTGCCCTGCCCCATGGTAAGCACTTCGGGAATAAGATGGGCACCTCCATCCAGCTCCCTCACCCATCCAGGGGCTGGGCAAACACCCTGGCACCCTGCAGCCCTCCCGGGGACAGCGTGGAAAAAAAAAAAAAAAAAAATTTAAATCTCTGCGATATAGAGCACTGCATTACCTCGGGTCAGAGTCAGCTCCATCCCCAAGAGATTTTTGGGGGCAGATGTTCCCTGTGAAAGTACATCTGCAAGGAAAGTGCCGGCGAGCTAAAACAGGGATGTTAAGGCTGTACTTAACACCAGGGTTTCTCCTTTGCTGCTCAAGCATCGCAGCGTGTGTGGGAGGCTGGCTAAAATAGCTTCTTCGCCAGGGCAGGGTGTGCTGAAGCTCTGGGTTTTTTGGTTTTTGTTTTGGGTTTTGGGTTTTTTTTTTGGCATTACAGGTGGTTTTTGGTTTTTGTTGGTTTGGGTTTTTTTTTCTCCTTGAGAGGGATGATATGCCAGGATGGGCTGGGGCTGATACAGAACCACAACCTGCAAAGCCCAGTCCCTGCCTGACCTGGGGAACAAGGGCTGCTTCAGTGGCCAGTCTGAACTCATCAATATTCGGTGGAAAAACACACTCGGTATTTCCAAGCAGAAAGGAGGATCTGCAGGACTCCCTGATGCAGGAACAAAGGACTCAGCAGTCTCAAACCCCAGACAAATTCATCCAAGAAGAAAACCATCCCTCAAGGAGCAGCTGTTACATGCCAAAGCAGCCTGTCGCCAGATGCCCGGAGAGTTTCAGGAAAACCATCTGCTCATGAGCTGCAAACTCCTGCACTGCTTTCCACCTCTGGGACCAGCGTTTGGCAGGAAGGATACCGGGTCGGGGATGGGCAGGACGAATTTTTCCATCTTCCCTGGAGATTGACTTTGGGAGAGTAACACAGCAAGCAGCTCCTTTGCATTAGCAAGGACAGGGAGGGATTTTTTTTTTTTTTTTTTTTCCCCTCTCGATGTGTCGCTGGGAAGCTGCCAGCTTATGCACAGAGGCCAAGTCCATGTCCTGGCAGGGGAAGGAAGGAGAGAAGGTGCTTATAAAGGTGATGAACTTCATAGGCCCTTTGCTCTGGCCGACCCCTTACACTGCTTATGGCAGAGCCTCAAAATCCTGCAACAGCTTCAGGGGGCAGAAATAACCTCCCTCTCTCCCATCCCAGCCCCTTTTCTGTAGGATACAACCTAAACCTTTCACAACCCCTGCAGGTCTGGGGACTCCAAAGGAGAGTTTTCCCCCCGACACTTTTCTAGGGGAATAAGCTGTTCTGATAATTTGGGAAACAACAAAATCCCTGAAAAAAAACCAAGGGCAGAAAGCCACTGTCCAGCTCATGGGACATGCACTGAGTGGCTGGAGGGCACGTTCTCTGTATAGCCTGATTTTAGGGAAGACAGAAGGGAAAATGGCAAATTTTCTGTGAGGCAATGACTCAGAATAATGATTCTCCTTCTCCTTAGAACTCTTCGTGCAGCTTTTCTTGAGCTGCAGGCCATGATGACCTTACTAAGGCACTTGCTCCTGGGACAGGCTGGGAAACACTAATCGCATTTAATGGCAATTAAGGGAGGAAATGGCCAGTGCGCCTTAGCTTAGCTGCTAACCATAGCTTTCTCTCTTTGGCTGAGAAGAAAACACAGATTTGGGGGAGCAGGGATGTTGCCGGAGCAAGATGGATGAACCCCAAAGGGAATTGTCCTTCCAAAATAAAGCTGAGAAGTTGGAGATGCAAAATAGTCAATGTATTCCCTCTCCATCTGCAGCAGGCAAGAGATGAACAAAGCCCTCCCGCTGTTTCATGAAGGCAGTTCCCAGCTATACTCTCCCATCTTCCTGTACAAATGACCATTAAAGTGGCTCTTTTATTAACTATTGTTAATATTACACCCTATTAACTCTAATAGCAACGTAATAGGCACATTTATTAATATGCAAATTCTGAGAAATCTAATTAACTCAGAGGTCCTCAACCTCTCAATGTTTCCAGGACTAGCATCCCAAAGCAATTCTCTCTCTGTTGCAGTTGTTGACATTTCTCCTTCTGAGCAGACAGAGCCTACCCAGATGGATAAAATTAATCACTTGACACTATCAGCTTTCAAGGAGCATCACTAAGGACTGCTTTTGCCTCAGGAGAAGTTCACGATGAACTCGTCTGGTGTATCTAAACACTCTCTGATATGGAAAGAGAGGCGCTTAACACACTTTCATAGCAAGGGTGTCTGACGATCTGCCCCTGTGCAGACCCCATGGTGCTTCTCCAGCGGTTGTGATCGGGAATAATAATAACCATGACCTACCTGTGACTCAGAGTCGAGTCTTTGGTTTGTTTTTCTCTTACTGTATCTCCCCAAAATAGAGGAAAAAAAAACAAAACCCTAAAACACCCCCCAAAAATCCTCATCTATTTATAAAAGACACCCCATGCATTTTGCTGTCTGAGCAGATGGGGAGCAACTGGGAACCTCGTGGGAAAACGCCATCCAAACGAGATGCCCAAATAGCTCATCGCAAAAGATATGTTTGCTGAAGAGAAGGAGGAATTAATGCTGTTAGATGCAGCCACGCTCCCTCTGCTGGAGTCTGCACAGACAGCAAGCAGCTTTTAGTGTTTAAATCTCCCACGATGTGGAAATTTTAGTTATCTGGAAGGCTCTCCAGAAATTCTCTCCGTACCCCATCGCAGCTAAAGCCATCTGCTGGTAGCACCGATACCTCATCCCGGTGCCCTCCAAAGGCGGGACTGTCCCAGGGGAGGATGGGGAAAAGATGGAAGAACATTTGCCACAGGATAAGAATGAGGTGGAGGGAGAGGAGAGGAGACTTCCAGCAGCAAACTTTCGGCTTGCAGACTCTCCTGTCCACCCTAAAACTGCCTACGGTAGATGCTAAAAGGATTTCCAGGAGGGCTGATGAAGCTAGCAGAGAAAAATCAAAAAGCCTGAAATAGGAGAGGAAAGGGTGAAGAAAAAAAAAATTAGCTGAATTTTCCAACACAAACCCTTCAGCCCTGCAGCTCTGGCTCACCGCTGTAGTCACCCATTTGCCAGGTATCATTAGTGCTCGTTATTTATTCCAAGTGATGGGCATGCAGAATTTCCACGTGCTGCTCTCCCATCCGCCATCTCCAAGGGGTTGGGCAGAGCCTGAATTTAAGTGTATGCAGTTTTGGGGGCTCAGATAGTGTCACACAGTGCTGAACCAGCCCCCCTCAATGCGTCGTCCTGGCGTTACATCTCCAGCCCATAGAAATTTGTGAGGGATATAAGTGAGTGAGGCAGAACAAGCACTCCTGGACAAACTTTTTCTAAAATCCAGCAGGTTTTGGTGCCCTTTGGAGAGCAGCAGGAGGAGGGGAGGTTGCTTCAGGACATCATGGCAAACCTAGAGCTGGGAACATGAGCAGAGAGGTGAGCTCACAGCGCTCTGGCTGGCTCGTGGTTTCTCCACATTAGAGTAAACCATCAAAAAAACCCCACTTCAGTGCATGCTCCTCTGGTCCATGGCTTTAGACACGAGTGCTGCATATGATTTCCACTCGGGACTGGGGGCTGGCTAATCTTGCATCATGCCACGCACTCACCAGCTCCCCCTTTTGAGCCTGGGATGCTCTGTGCTCGGTGCCGAAGCGACTGGAAATGGAGATGGTGGGTTGGGGTAGTGGAGAAAGTATTGCAGGTTTGGAAATGAAACCCCTCCCTGTCTTCTGTT